ATATTATCTATAAATTATAATAATAAATAATAAAAGGGCTAAAGTGTGAAACGCGATTGTTAACAAGTGCACCTCATTTTAAATATTTATCAGTTAATATTATGAAAGAAGCTGATCGATATGGGCTTAACTCTAGCCGAACTCATCAACTTCCTGATTCTTCTTCATCGCCAGTAAAGTAAGTGCCTTAATTTTCCATAAAAGGAAAACATATTTTTCAACTTCGACAATGCAGTCATAAAGAAAGAATAACCAAAATCAGAGAGTCTTCACAAAATTCCTCAGTTATTAATAGAACGAAAAAAATATTAATGAAAGTATTAAGTACAATAATTGGTATGTGTCCTAAGTCTTAATTTTAGGAAGAGTAGTAGTTGCATTTTCGTTGCATTCATATCATTTTCTGTCAATTTTTAGAGCTATTTTTTTTACATTATGAAGGGCCCCCCTCGTTCTATTTAATGCAAACTATTCAAATGATAATTTTAAATCGTTAATAAATGTATCAAGGTGTTTATAAATGTCTGTTTCCTGACAATAAAATATCAAAACACTATGATATTAAATACGTAGGAATTTCCAGAACCTCCGCATTCTTTTCCTAAGACAATTGTGTTATTATCAATCCAAAGAAGTGTAACATTAACCTACTTTAATATTTAGGGCGTGCTAAAACTAATTTGTAACCATGATTTAAAAATATAACACAACTGAATGGTAACGGAGCGAATTTGTTATGTTGGGGTTAAAAAAAAGGAAACGCGTTCATTTATTTTGTATATCCTTCCATTCAAACCAAAAACGTTTTATTTATGGATTTTTTTATATATCAAGGAAATCAGTTATCGCAGGATTTGCTAATCTATGGAGGAATTGCCTGATTTTTAAAAGATTTTCCGATTTTTTCATATTTGGATTTATACTCAATTAATAAAAATTTTAGCTTTCATTACGGTGGATATGGTGGTAATGCCGGAGGAGAATTGTCAGAAGATGAAGTATCAGATTTGCCAAGTTGTGCGTTCGCAACAAGATCTACAACAGTGCAGCATCACTACCTTACATCTCTGCATCATCCAGCAGGTACGTTAAATTAAAAACAAATTAATTGGATTACCATATGGCTACAACATTTTCTATTGAGATTCATAATCTTACCATGCTTAGATTTACGGATGATATAGATATAGGAGTATAAGTAACGCCTAGCAAAAGAAGGAATCAAAGATAGCTTTAAATAAAGTGGAAGCTATATTGACATGAGAATATGCTATGAAAATTAATAAAAACAAGCCGTGGGATAAGTCTGGACTCCGTGTATCGCATCTCAGGTTTGACCCTTAAGGTCCACACGAATAACTTCCCTGCTAGTGCAAATATACAGTTTCTACTACTTTTACTTATTTCAAAATATCGAGTTACATCAGAACCAATTAGATCAGATAAATATTTTTCAAGAATTTCCATATTTTACTAATTTTCAGTTTAAACATAAAAACAAATCAACCGAATGTTATGTAATTTATTTCGGATCATATTGCCCGTAATACGCTTCGATCGGAACTTCCACGATGTCGATATCATTTTTTGTTCGCGCAATATCGATCAGGAAAAAATATGACGACACGTACCTATATATACCGTACCTTCAAAATATGTTGAATGATTTTTATGATTCGACCCATTATAATAACTTCCATGTTTACTAACCAAAATATTGTAACCATAAGTACCGTTGTCTACCTACTACTAAGATAATGAATGATTGAAAAAGGGGAGATGTTTTCTTTAATTTCAGAAAGTTCACAATGTCCTGGAAGCTCTGCTATGTCAAGCACCGACTATTATGGAGGATTGCCGTACAGAATTCAAAGACATGCAGCCAATATAAGAGAAAGGAAAAGGATGCTGAGGTCTGCTATTGGACCCACCGGGTATCCATTTCTTATTACGAGTATGAAAACATTCGGTTAACATTTTGCAAATATTAATATACTGAATCGTAGTGCCTAACAAAATTATTATAGGAAAAAAGGATTAACAACATTTAAAATTACTTTTTATGTTAATAAATTTCTTACTATCAGTATTTAAATAACGGTGGATAGGAGAAATAGATCTGTAATCACTTCAAAATTTATCTAAAATCAGGCATTATATAGAAAAGGCCTTTTTTTCTAATGTCAAGTAATACCTATCTCTATCGGAGAAGAAAAGGTTAGAAGAAGCTTTCAAAATGAGGTCTTACAGGCGAATGATGAGGATTCCGTGGATAGAGAAGGTTAGAAATGAAATTAGAAAAAATAGGAGAACTCGTTAAGAAATAGGCGAGATAGGTTGGTAGGACATCTTCTCAGGTATGAAGGACTAGTCAGACATATTAGAGACAGAAGCAGGAATTAAGAGGAGTAGAGGTTGACCTACACTAAATTAAAATTCAGAAATAGTTAAGGATGTGGGATGTTCTAGTTTTAGGGAAATGCAACGATTAGCTCAAGATAAGAAAGAATGGAAGTGCTTGTACAACCAGTCTTAGAACTGACGATCTTAAGTTGATGAAGTAATATCTATACATGACACAAGAATATACAATTTTTACTTTCTCCTTTACTGTTAATATTTAACTAATTACTATTAATTAAATAAGTTTTAAAGCGACTTAACTTTCTACGATACATTTTTGAAATATCTTTTGTAACTACTTTGAATACTCATAAAATGACAAAATATTTAAAAAGGAAAACCGTCTTAACTATTTTGACAATAATCTCGGATTGCGCTCCTTGAAGGACTAATTTTCATTAATTTTTTTTTCTACTTCAACTTACGATTAGAAATTTATTTTCGAAAATATTATGTTTAACCATCAATTATCTGACGTACTTGTGTCTTATAGCAGTATAAACTCCGCTTTTGACGAACTGCGTATGCATGTTCCCACATTTCCCTACGAAAAGCGACTAAGTAAAATCGACACCCTTCGATTGGCTATAGCCTACATAGCCCTTCTGAGAGAAGTCTTGACCGCCGACTGTGATCCATTAACTTATGTCGAGAAATGTTTAAGGGGTGAAATTAAAGCAGACAGGGCTCATTGGAATACAAGTGGTAAGTATTTCGATATTAACTAATGATAGCAAAAGTAATTCTTTCTTCAGTACTTTTGTACTACCTTTCAATACATATACCTGCAAATATACTTTTTTAACAGTATAATTTAAAATGCACTTAGCATTTTTGTTGCAATTAACAAAATATTCCATTATAATAAACTCAAAGCAATGATGGACAGCGCTGGTATAAAGGCAAGTATAAGGATTTATAATTTGTAAAGAAGAAAACAGACAAAGCAAAATATAAATATTTCAATTCATAACACTCACTGCAAAGGTTTCTCATCAATTAAGTGTTTTTAAGTACTAGCTAAACGTTTACTTTTGAAAATCGAAATTAGTAAGGGCACCACAAATAATTACATGCAATTTCGTCCTCAATTTCTTCAAGCGATGACGCAAATTATCACCAGGCCACGCGTTCGGCACTTTAGCACGGAAATAAGTGGTCGTGTCATGTGGGAGTATTGCCGGTCCCTTCGACGGCCAGCGTCCCTTTTGTCCCTGTCGACGACAAACGTCACGTGAGCGTCGCGTGCCAGGATAATACGCGAGCGTCGTCACTTACATATGTCAAACATGGTTTGCGGCGTTTCTAACCGCCTATACCGACGCCGTACGGACCGCGTTCAATTGTTCGGAAAGATAAGCCAACTGGATCACGAAGCGTGCGATTGAAGCTATGAATTTGGCCCTGTCTATTTTGCGATTGTTTATTGAAAATGGTCTTAATTTTAAGCCGAACATTTGACAGTTTTGTAAATAAATAAGCCGGTTATTGAAAAAGGAATTATTTTAACTCTCTCATGAATTTTAAACGAACTGAGACATCATCACATTCATAGGGTCGCCTCACCGAAAATATTGGTTGTTCACGCACATGCAATTCTTCAAAATCAAAAGCTAATATTCCGAAAACTGGAACATTCGACATACATAACTACGCATTTGCGAATTTAATCTAAACTATGTATAGTTCTACTTCTCTACTCCTTTTTACTCTTATTTCTTCTTCTAACCAGAGATGTGATTTATTTGAAATGCATAAATTTAAAATGTAAATACGAAATAATAAAAACCTATTTTTATCTTTTTTGAAAAAAGCATTTTGTATTTTATTTCTTAACTACTTTTCCAAACGTATTCTCTATTTGTAAAATGCAAATTATATTTAAAGGTTTTGCTAGTATCACCGATCAAACATTACATAAAATGATAAAAAAAAACTTGCTCGCATTGGTCATTGAAACTTAAAAAGAGGACAAAGAGACATTCCATGAATGCCTTCTAATTCTTTAACTAAAGAGAACCCAAAAATTTCTAAACTCCTTGGAAATTGATAATTTAAATTATTGGATCGAAATTGTTTTCCGGGTTCAATGTCATGGTCCATGGAATTTTGAAGTTCCAAATTGATATCAACACCTGCCAATTCATTACTTATCGTACCTTTAGCAAGAAACTAAGAAATTCTATGAATTATGACAAACCAGCCCGCAAAACAATATCAAATTGATATACGCCAAATGTGTAAAACTGAAAGCTACAAGATATTGTGGTGTGCTAATGAATGCCTTTAATACTAAATTCTTAAAAAATGATTCGAAAAACCTCATTTATTAGATGAACCCACAGCTAAAAAAACTATGGATTCCATTTCTTCCTCTTATTACAATGTGTAAAAGATCGGAAACAAAATAGGCTTGTAAATATTTTGTTATAAAATGGTTGATGTTGACTTTACATTAATGAAATTATTTGCAACCCTATTTTGCCTCTGATCTTTCACGGTAAAGAAACTATTTTGGCATCAGTGTCTTTTTTTAATTAAAACGGGTGACAAAGATAAATAAGGAAGCATTTAGAAGAATTATTTGTTGCTGAACTGAAGAAACTATAACATAAAGATAGAAAAACTGTATCGCAATCTCTTTAAATATCGGAAAGATATGAATATTACTCAATCTTCGCAGCTGGTGATATAATGCAAACACCACTATTAGTCTAGAAAAACTCCAATACTTAAAAAATCAGCAAATGTCTACAAGGTTTTCTTAAAAAATATTTTATACTTAAGTGAATGTAGAAAATTAAATAGTAAAAAAGTATTTATTTCAAAAAAGTATTTTGAAAATACGTATTTTGCATTTAGCATTTAAAATACAAAATGGAAATCTATTTTGTATTTTTACTTTTGAAATAAAAAATTCTAAATACTTCCTCATTTCTGAAATTTTCTATCCATGATATTAATTCGCCTATCAGACTAAAACATGAAGACATATTTTTGTCTCCGATTTCATGAAACATGCCCTTTTGAGAATATACAATGTTTGAAAAATTGGATTTTCATTTGTGAAGAACTATTGACCTTTGTGTTTTCCCGTGAAAATATCGCTGTTAAGGCATTAATGATTATCTGTGTTACAGAAGAATTGAAGTTTTAGTCGTAAAACACTGCAAAAAATTTGGCATGCATCTCCAGTTGGTATAATATTAGTTAACTGCAGAAAAATCTTTGGAAGAATTCCTATGATTTATATGTAAAAGAATGCGAAAAATGATCGGAANCAGGGTGTTGCGCATAATGCGCAAAGGTTTATTACGAAATAAAGTTTCTGTTATAAACTTTTTTTTACTAATTTTACTAACACCCACAGTCAGTTGATTGAGCGGTACTGATTGATTAAAAATGCAAGTTAGAATAATTCTCTTTACTCTTCTTGGCATGCATCTCCAGTTGGTATAATATTAGTTAACTGCAGAAAAATCTTTGGAAGAATTCCTATGATTTATATGTAAAAGAATGCGGCAAATGATCGGAAATTGTTAAAATTTTCCATAGTTAACAACTAATCAATTAAATCTTCATGCTAAATTCTTTGCAGTTTTTATGATTATAAGAATTGCTTTTACCGCTGTAAACTCCCAGTCCCTGCAACTATACATTTATTCGTTTCCTCTTTTTCACATGTTTGTTTATATTTACGGATATTAATTTTATTTGCCGTATATATAAATTCAAAACCGCAGACCCTCTCAAACAAATGGACCTAGAGTGCCTGTTTGCGTTAGTGACATGCGCAATTCTTAACGCATGTGTTTGCTTACGTATTGTACGTAAACCGTGACCGATCAATTGTGGCAGTTAAATCTTTTTGCAAACAATCACATAACAATTATTCATGTTAACGACTCTTCAACAGATACGTTCCCACAATCGGAACTGGTACAGGAAATAGCGAGTTGCACATCAGACCCTCTCTAAAAGAGGCGCCCGCTGGGCAAATGTTATTACCTCGAAATAAGTATTTCTCCAATTTATTACATTGATACTTAGGTATAATTTATAATTTTATTAAAAATATTATTGAACCATAAAAATCGTTACTACTATAAAAAAAAATACAACGTGTAATTATACAACACGCTACTGAAGTGAAACTTCTTCAAACACACAAACATACCGGGATAGGGGTTAAGGAATTGGTTTAATGGTATTATTTGTATACTATGCTTCGCACGGGTGTAATGCTGATAGTAAATATACTATAGAATGTCTTTATATACAACAATCACAGCTTTTCTGTCATTAGACAATACAAACCGGCCGGTACCGCCGCAACCGCTATGTCCCTGCATTTTAAGTCGGTAATATCTTCGAAAATATTCATTTAATTAAATGCACAATATATTTAAAAGTACTTAATTGGATAAGCATTAATGCTGTATTGCTTAAAATCGCTTCGTAAATAAGCCATTATTTCTCGTAAAAAGTAAAGGATAAAAAATGGTTATTGTGGGTTATCACTAAGAGATAGACATATACAATCTCGGACATTTTTGTAGACCTTTTTAAGGTGTACAATACTGTAGTATGTTATTTTGATCTATCTCATTAGGTTCAGCCAGCGTTTGCAATGTAAGCGCAAAAAATGTGTTTATTTACGACATCACATTACAAACCTCTAAAATTATCAACGTTTCTCTACCATATTATACATGTATTATACATATAAACCTTTCCCTTGAATTATTCTACCTACTAAAAAAAACCTCATTAAAATCCGTTGGGTAGTTTTAAAGATCTAAGCATACATAGGGACAGACAGCGGAGGAAATGCGTTGCATGATTTCGTTACATAGCAAACTCGCATCAAACGAACTTAGCCTACCGTGCGTAAAGAAGTTTCACTTCAAAAATATGGGAACTTTTATTATAAAAATTTGATTTTTCTATTTGTTTATATGATCAAAATAATATACAATGACATTGCGCTAATTGGTACGAAAAATCGTTACAAAAACCTTTAGGGTTTAAAGTCTGAAAAACGCACCTACAGATAAACGCCTTATGTTTCATGTCTTCAAATTCACACAGTTCACATATTTTCGTATTAAAATATCTCCAAATTTCGCACATATGTTATTAAAATAAATATTTCCTTTTTATATTTGTAAAGTTTCATTATTAAAGTTCCTCTATTGGGGTTCAACCAGTCAGAATATCTCCATTAAAATAAAAATGATAATCCTTCAATTAGATGTTAATTAAGTAAATATGTACCTACATATTTTGTAGTTTTATCCGTTTTGTAGTTTTAATCGTATGAGAAATTTGGGGTGGAGTTCACATTCGTTCGGTCACCGTCACAAACATATTTCGCGGGTACTCTCGATTGTGAAGGGTCGCGTGGCCTATTAATTAGGGGCAACTAAGTGTAAGTCCTTGTACAAATCGGTTTGTTTCTCTCTGGGCCAGATTTGGCGATTGCCACGGGCCTTAAATAATCAAATGTGTTGTGGACAGACGCCAAACAGAACGGAAGTAATTTGACGAAAGGTATTTATTGTAAAAAAAGTTGTCTAACAATAGTTTAGGAAAATAGAAGAAATAGGAAGCATTATTTACTTATTTAATAGGTACACCTAATACTGATAGGATACTGCGCATAAAGGGAAGAAATTATAAATTTTCTACCGAATACGTATATTACACAGTAGAACCTCTATAACTCGAACATCAAGGGAGATGCCAAAACAGTTTTCGACTTACGGAGGATTTTGATTCGACTAGTAGAGGTTAAGATTTGGTGTACTTACATTATCGGCAAATCCTTAAAGTCGATACGATCGAACTGTAGACGTAATAAGTTTCAAATTATCGAGTTGTCAACGTTGTAAAATAAATCATTACTGTGTTCGAGATACAGAGGTCCGATTTAATTGTTCGAGTTATAGAGGGAAAATTTGTACCAAAATTGCTTGCAGGGACTGACTGATTATTTCGACGAATAGAGGGTTGAGATTTCGAGTGATTGAGGTTTTGGGGCTTAAAGGGAAGGAACAAAACATTTTTTCGAGTTTTTGAGTTTTTCGACTTATCGAGGTTCGACTTGAAGAGGTTCTACTGTACCACCAAGGCCGAATGCGTGGACCACAAACTACCGGAAAGTGGAGGCCTCTTTCTTCCCGAGGTTCATATACGACTTTTTACCATACTCTCATGCTGTCGAATATTCCTGACAAGAATTCGAGAATTCGCATTTAGTGTTTATTAGGAAAGGATTTTAACGTATCCTTGGCGCAGAAATTGCTACCCGAGACGTATAAGGCGAGTGTGGAAACCATGCACGGAAGATAATAAAAGCCCTTTTCTCGTGTATTGAATACGATTACTTACCGGGAAGGCAATGTTGCGAATTCGTTCCCAGTGGACAAAATATCGTACTTCCAATAAGGATATAAGATATAAAAAATATGCAAAGAACTATGCAGAACGCAGGAATTGATAACAGATTTTAGGTGCAGTTTGAAAAAATAAAGCCACCCACTTAAATCGTATAACTGTAAAAACATTATATTGATTATTCTAAGGGATGAAAGATATTTAAAAAAGCATGCGGAATTGAGTGGTGATGACAGACTTTAGGTATAGTTTGACATAGGTAAGCTATCATTTGATAATATGCTTAAAATCGTTAAAACGATAAAAACAAAAACGCGCACGTAAAATTTCTACCTATATTAAAACATTATTCTGAACGTTCTAAGGGATGAAAAGTATTTAAAAAAGCATATAGAATTTAGTGGTGATAACAGACTTTAGGTATATTCTGACATAAGCAACCTACCCTTTAATTACATGCTAAAAATCGTTAAACAGTAAACACAAAAATGCGCACGTAAAATTTCTACCTATTAAAACATTATTCCGAACGTTCTAACGGATGAAAGATATTTCAAAAATCATATAGAATCCAGTGGTGATAACAGACTTTAGGTATAATTTGACATAAACAATCTGCCCTTTAATTACATGCTTGAAACGGTAAATACAATAACGCGCACGTTAAAGTTCTATCTATTAAAACATTATTTTGAACGTTCTAAATTTATCCAAAAGAGGATGTAAAATATTTAGACATAAGTATGCTACCCCTTAATTATTTGCTTCAAATCGTTAAAATTGTAAATAAAAAAATGCGCACGTAAAACTTCTACTTAATAAAATTTTAGCCTGAACGTTTTAAGGGATGAAATATATCTAGAAAAGCATGTTGAATATAGTGTGATAACAGATTTTAGATGCAGTTTGACATCGGCAAGCTACTCTTCCATTATTTATTGCTTAAAATGTCTATTTCTTAAAACGTTATATTCTGAACGTTTTGAAGGATGAAAAATATTTAAAAAAGAATGTAAAATTTAATGGTGTTATCAGATTGTAGGTACAAATCATAGGGAGAACTGTAAATACAAATTTTCTGCTAAAATTTGTCTATTTTTTTAACACAATTAGTTGTAAATCCTACTAAAATATATACTAATAAAACACTTGGCAATCTTTTCATGAATTTATTGTGAAATGTCGATAGTTCTTTAGACAGTAGCTTATTGGGTAATTTTTTACATTAGTTGACATTGGAATTGAGACATGAGGTTTAGTCAGGTAGGTAGTACTCACCAAGTAAAGTAGTGTAGTAGTATTTACTAGAATTTTGNAATACGCTTCGATCGGAACTTCCACGATGTCGATATCATTTTTTGTTCGCGCAATATCGATCAGGAAAAAATATGACGACACGTACCTATATATACCGTACCTTCAAAATATGTTGAATGATTTTTATGATTCGACCCATTATAATAACTTCCATGTTTACTAACCAAAATATTGTAACCATAAGTACCGTTGTCTACCTACTACTAAGATAATGAATGATTGAAAAAGGGGAGATGTTTTCTTTAATTTCAGAAAGTTCACAATGTCCTGGAAGCTCTGCTATGTCAAGCACCGACTATTATGGAGGATTGCCGTACAGAATTCAAAGACATGCAGCCAATATAAGAGAAAGGAAAAGGATGCTGAGGTCTGCTATTGGACCCACCGGGTATCCATTTCTTATTACGAGTATGAAAACATTCGGTTAACATTTTGCAAATATTAATATACTGAATCGTAGTGCCTAACAAAATTATTATAGGAAAAAAGGATTAACAACATTTAAAATTACTTTTTATGTTAATAAATTTCTTACTATCAGTATTTAAATAACGGTGGATAGGAGAAATAGATCTGTAATCACTTCAAAATTTATCTAAAATCAGGCATTATATAGAAAAGGCCTTTTTTTCTAATGTCAAGTAATACCTATCTCTATCGGAGAAGAAAAGGTTAGAAGAAGCTTTCAAAATGAGGTCTTACAGGCGAATGATGAGGATTCCGTGGATAGAGAAGGTTAGAAATGAAATTAGAAAAAATAGGAGAACTCGTTAAGAAATAGGCGAGATAGGTTGGTAGGACATCTTCTCAGGTATGAAGGACTAGTCAGACATATTAGAGACAGAAGCAGGAATTAAGAGGAGTAGAGGTTGACCTACACTAAATTAAAATTCAGAAATAGTTAAGGATGTGGGATGTTCTAGTTTTAGGGAAATGCAACGATTAGCTCAAGATAAGAAAGAATGGAAGTGCTTGTACAACCAGTCTTAGAACTGACGATCTTAAGTTGATGAAGTAATATCTATACATGACACAAGAATATACAATTTTTACTTTCTCCTTTACTGTTAATATTTAACTAATTACTATTAATTAAATAAGTTTAGCTGATCGATATGGGCTTAACTCTAGCCGAACTCATCAACTTCCTGATTCTTCTTCATCGCCAGTAAAGTAAGTGCCTTAATTTTCCATAAAAGGAAAACATATTTTTCAACTTCGACAATGCAGTCATAAAGAAAGAATAACCAAAATCAGAGAGTCTTCACAAAATTCCTCAGTTATTAATAGAACGAAAAAAATATTAATGAAAGTATTAAGTACAATAATTGGTATGTGTCCTAAGTCTTAATTTTAGGAAGAGTAGTAGTTGCATTTTCGTTGCATTCATATCATTTTCTGTCAATTTTTAGAGCTATTTTTTTTACATTATGAAGGGCCCCCCTCGTTCTATTTAATGCAAACTATTCAAATGATAATTTTAAATCGTTAATAAATGTATCAAGGTGTTTATAAATGTCTGTTTCCTGACAATAAAATATCAAAACACTATGATATTAAATACGTAGGAATTTCCAGAACCTCCGCATTCTTTTCCTAAGACAATTGTGTTATTATCAATCCAAAGAAGTGTAACATTAACCTACTTTAATATTTAGGGCGTGCTAAAACTAATTTGTAACCATGATTTAAAAATATAACACAACTGAATGGTAACGGAGCGAATTTGTTATGTTGGGGTTAAAAAAAAGGAAACGCGTTCATTTATTTTGTATATCCTTCCATTCAAACCAAAAACGTTTTATTTATGGATTTTTTTATATATCAAGGAAATCAGTTATCGCAGGATTTGCTAATCTATGGAGGAATTGCCTGATTTTTAAAAGATTTTCCGATTTTTTCATATTTGGATTTATACTCAATTAATAAAAATTTTAGCTTTCATTACGGTGGATATGGTGGTAATGCCGGAGGAGAATTGTCAGAAGATGAAGTATCAGATTTGCCAAGTTGTGCGTTCGCAACAAGATCTACAACAGTGCAGCATCACTACCTTACATCTCTGCATCATCCAGCAGGTACGTTAAATTAAAAACAAATTAATTGGATTACCATATGGCTACAACATTTTCTATTGAGATTCATAATCTTACCATGCTTAGATTTACGGATGATATAGATATAGGAGTATAAGTAACGCCTAGCAAAAGAAGGAATCAAAGATAGCTTTAAATAAAGTGGAAGCTATATTGACATGAGAATATGCTATGAAAATTAATAAAAACAAGCCGTGGGATAAGTCTGGACTCCGTGTATCGCATCTCAGGTTTGACCCTTAAGGTCCACACGAATAACTTCCCTGCTAGTGCAAATATACAGTTTCTACTACTTTTACTTATTTCAAAATATCGAGTTACATCAGAACCAATTAGATCAGATAAATATTTTTCAAGAATTTCCATATTTTACTAATTTTCAGTCTTTTTGTTTAAACATAAAAACAAATCGACCGAATGTTATATAATTTATTTCGGATCATATTGCCCGTAATACGCTTCGATCGGAACTTCCACGATGTCGATATCATTTTTTGTTCGCGCAATATCGATCAGGAAAAAATATGACGACACGTACCTATATATACCGTACCTTCAAAATATGTTGAATAATTTTTATGATTCGACCCATTATAATACCTTCCATGTTTACTAACCAAAATATTGTAACCATAAGTACCGTTGTCTACCTACTACTAAGATAATGAATGATTGAAAAAGGGGAGATGTTTTCTTTAATTTCAGAAAGTTCACAATGTCCTGGAAGCTCTGCTATGTCAAGCACCGACTATTATGGAGGATTGCCGTACAGAATTCAAAGACATGCAGCCAATATAAGAGAAAGGAAAAGGATGCTGAGGTCTGCTATTGGACCCACCGGGTATCCATTTCTTATTACGAGTATGAAAACATTCGGTTAACATTTTGCAAATATTAATATACTGAATCGTAGTGCCTAACAAAATTATTATAGGAAAAAAGGATTAACAACATTTAAAATTACTTTTTATGTTAATAAATTTCTTACTATCAGTATTTAAATAACGGTGGATAGGAGAAATAGATCTGTAATCACTTCAAAATTTATCTAAAATCAGGCATTATATAGAAAAGGCCTTTTTTTCTAATGTCAAGTAATACCTATCTCTATCGGAGAAGAAAAGGTTAGAAGAAGCTTTCAAAATGAGGTCTTACAGGCGAATGATGAGGATTCCGTGGATAGAGAAGGTTAGAAATGAAATTAGAAAAAATAGGAGAACTCGTTAAGAAATAGGCGAGATAGGTTGGTAGGACATCTTCTCAGGTATGAAGGACTAGTCAGACATATTAGAGACAGAAGCAGGAATTAAGAGGAGTAGAGGTTGACCTACACTAAATTAAAATTCAGAAATAGTTAAGGATGTGGGATGTTCTAGTTTTAGGGAAATGCAACGATTAGCTCAAGATAAGAAAGAATGGAAGTGCTTGTACAACCAGTCTTAGAACTGACGATCTTAAGTTGATGAAGTAATATCTATACATGACACAAGAATATACAATTTTTACTTTCTCCTTTACTGTTAATATTTAACTAATTACTATTAATTAAATAAGTTTTAAAGCGACTTAACTTTCTACGATATATTTTTGAAATATCTTTTGTAACTACTTTGAATACTCATAAAATGACAAAATATTTAAAAAGGAAAACCGTCTTAACTATTTTGACAATAATCTCGGATTGCGCTCCTTGAAGGACTAATTTTCATTAATTTTTTTTTCTACTTCAACTTACGATTAGAAATTTATTTTCGAAAATATTATGTTTAACCATCAATTATCTGACGTACTTGTGTCTTATAGCAGTATAAACTCCGCTTTTGACGAACTGCGTATGCATGTTCCCACATTTCCCTACGAAAAGCGACTAAGTAAAATCGACACCCTTCGATTGGCTATAGCCTACATAGCCCTTCTGAGAGAAGTCTTGACCGCCGACTGTGATCCATTAACTTATGTCGAGAAATGTTTAAGGGGTGAAATTAAAGCAGACAGGGCTCATTGGAATACAAGTGGTAAGTATTTCGATATTAACTAATGATAGCAAAAGTAATTCTTTCTTCAGTACTTTTGTACTACCTTTCAATACATATACCTGCAAATATACTTTTTTAACAGTATAATTTAAAATGCACTTAGCATTTTTGTTGCAATTAACAAAATATTCCATTATAATAAACTCAAAGCAATGCAATGAAACTTTCAAAATTATTAGAGTGCAAATACTCATTATAATATTGTTGATCTAGTTGAATTATAAATTGAATAACTTTAAAGATCTTCCAGTTTATGTCCTTTTTTACATAATCCTCAATACTTTATATTTATGGAATGTAAATCAAAAATAAAATGTTAAACAAATTTTTAATCAAGTCATTAAACTGCATTAAATTTCCTGAATTTTGGTGAAAACCGCATTTAAATCGGTTAAGAAATAACTGAGTTATGCGTTTTAAAGTATGTGTATGTATCCCTATTACTCTAATTCATAATATAGTGGCGCCTAACACTGTTTACATCCGTATTCCTTTAAGTGCATTTGCATTAAATTTGACCTACTTTTAATCAATGGAATGATGGCCGCCGATGCAATAGCCAATAAGATGCATCGAAACGCATCCAGCTAGTTTATAACAATTAAACTTACATATCTGAATCAGTCACCCTCGGTGCTATGGTAGAGTGTACTTCGTTGCATATTTTAAGTTATAACTACGTAAAAATCTTAATTATTTTTTCAATAAAATTAGTTAGCAAATATTCTATAATATTATTAAAATTTATTGTATGAGATATTTACTTACCACACAATGCAACTATTCTTGATTTAAATATTTAATATAATTATGACTATAAAATGTTATTTCTGTTGCAGTAATTTATGATACGCACAAACACGTTTAAGGGAAAGAGGGGTTTAATTTGGTTAAAAGTAAACTAATTTAAAAATCCGCAACTAATTTTTTTATATATAAATGTTATTAATACAATTATTAACTAATTTACTTAAAAGAATATGGGCTTTCTCTACCGTCATGGGTTAATTTAACAGACACCAAGGATGACTCCCAAAAATGCCTCGTCGAGAGCCATTTAAATTACCAAACCTATTCGTATATACATACATAGACCAAAACGCAGGAATTATTAAGAAAATTACCATATAAACAAATCACACTAAAGCTCCTACCTTTTTATGTGCAACGATGCGTTTGCAAGTTATTGGCAGGATGTCTGATGCATTTTATATCTACTAACAATCTTATAAAACCTTCAATACTAAACAGATATACTGACACAAACATCTTTCTAATAAAAGCACAAACGTGCCAGAACGAGTTCGTTATCACACCATGAGGTCACGACTGTTTTTTGTTGCTGAAATGATGTAGTGAGGCAAAAAAACATCGTTTAACTCGATTTGTACCTATTATACACCGTACTTTCTCGTTAGTTTGAAATAATGGAATAAATATAAATCGTTTTACTTTACAGGGTGTTGCGCATAATGCGCAAAGGTTTATTACGAAATAAAGTTTCTGTTATAAACTTTTTTTTACTAATTTTACTAACACCCACAGTCAGTTGATTGAGCGGTACTGATTGATTAAAAATGCAAGTTAGAATAATTCTCTTTACTCTTCCCATTATTTTTAATAATTATATTATTAATTAGTATATAAAAAAAACCTTTTCCGCAGATTTAACGGCCCGACTGTCATGGATAAACTGGGAAAACCTGGGAGTGAACCCAGGAAGAAGAAGTACTTTAAATGCTTTAGGTTTAACGGCAGATAGTTTAAACCATTAATTTAAAAACATAATCGATATTCAAAATGCATGTAAAAAAATTGTAACTGTGATGTAAATGCAACCCTATTATGTAAGTGCAATACATTCCTGTAATAGCTGATAAATAAATACATACATACATATAAAACATTAAAACGTCCGGTTATTTCCTTATTAGGAAACAGTTTAATTACATTAAAGCCTTATCCTTTTGTTCTGAATTTTTATTTTTAAAGTAACTATATTAACAGTATATTAACAATTGTATAAAATAAATACAACATTTTTGAGCAAAAGCAAAATTTCTATTGATACTGATACTCAATTAGAAAAATTACTTCACAACCAATAACAGAAACAAAATGATTAAAGTAATGTTATTTAATAAAATTTGCTTGCTGTAATACTTGTCTTGCAGCATTATTTATGTGCTGGAAACGTTTAGGTCCTAGATGGACTCCTCCATACCACCTTGTGACAACAACAACCACATTAGTAACATCCACAATTTGCAGCAAATGTAACAAACGCTGGCCAGCATGAGTCTCACCATCATCGTCATAATCCTGTATCACATATTTATTGTTATTTGTAAACATAATTCAGATTAGAAATTTGTTTTACCTGATACCAAATATCGTCACGTTTAACTCGATAAGCACTAATATTATGTGTAGCTTGGGCAATTTTTTTATTTTGTTTTAGGAAATTTATAAACTTGTTAACTTCTATTTCGCTATAAACAGAACATGCATGCCCCTGAAAAACACTTTTTCTGTCTTCAATAACTGATCCATGAGTTACATCAAATTTAACTAAATTCTCGTCTTCTACTACGACTTCTTTTTTAGTTTGTATTTCTTTTGGTATTTTAATTTCATCTGCCTTTTTCGTAGTTTGTACTACTTCTAACAGTTTTTCAAGCCATTGGAATATAATCGGTGTCCCACAATTTTCATTAAATATTCGTTTAAATTCATCGTCTATTTCTCTTTTCACTTTTGAATCTAAAGCTGGAGCAAGAAGTTGATAAGCAGGGGGGCTCTCCGAAGGGTAGCTTTTATTTAAGGTTATATATACCTGCACTTCGGAATCCACATGAAAAGTAAAACTGTCCTCTATTCCCTGATCAGCTTCCCACTGGGAACCATAAATCGCACTTAAAGCTTCAATTTCGTCCTTTTGTAGAGAAATATTACTGTTCAAGTCCATCTTTTATAACTACGTTACTTTTTAAATGTTCTTGACGTTTGAAGTTATGCTACCAAATATACACATGTGCATTTTGAAAATGTGGAAGTGGTTACAGGAACTACAGGAGCATAGTTTTTTTTTTCAAAATTGTACAAATATATTTTCCTTTTCCCATTTAGACTCGATTTATAATAATGAGTAACTGACAATTAAAAGCTAATATATCATATTCAGACGTGCCCGTTTAAAGCTTGATACCAAAACCATATCACATAAAGTTTCCTTCACTTTTTAATGTTGGGATGTCAAGTTAACTACATAATAATTGATTAAGTTAATTATTTAATAATTAAGACGGTAGTCGAAAAGTTAAAAAGGAGAATATACCACATATTTCGCACAGAGTAAATTGATATACATTTAGTGTAGCACTTTCAAAATACACAAAACACACGACGTAAATTTTTGTTTTGGAAAAAATCTGCTGATTTTTTCTGTACTTTACCTGACTTTACTTTCGCATAAACTCACTTTATACGTTAGCACAGCAAGTTTAAAATTCCAACCAGAGCGTAAACGCAATTGCTAGTTATCACATACGCATTTATTAATTAAATCTAGCTGAAAAGCTTTCAAATTTAGCACAACACAACCGTGATTTTGTGTTGCTTTATGAAATCTAAATTAAGAGAAAAAAAGCAGTAACAGGAGAAAAACTGTAAGGAAATAACAGCGAAACGTCTTACCTTTTATGGCGAGGAATTCACACATCAAATTCAAATCTAATGGCAAAAAGGGTAAGCAATGAACAGTATATAGAAAAAAAAAACAAAAAAAAAAAACAATTAACTGCAATATATTTATGTGAATTATTGATATGAAATGTAAAGTGTCCCTCAGGACTACATTCATTACAGATTTCTCCAGATCCTACTTATAAACAATGTACAATTCTTATTTACAGCACTTGTCAAAACCATTAAGACATTCGATTATGTTTGAAAAAATCTCAATATAGATTTTTATAAATTCTACAATACTAATAGTAGTGTAGTTTNGATGATGAAAACAGCATGAATATAGAGTTAAAAATGGGGAGGTATTAGAAAAAGTAAAAAAAAATGACGCTGTGAAAGTCAATAAAAAATAGGAGAGATAGGATGGTAGGGCATCTTCTAAGATATAAATGGCTAGTTAAAGACAGAATCAAAAACATGAATAGAGGGATTGAGGAAGATTTGGATTAGAGTGCTGCTCATAATTAGTTAACGAAATTCAAACCAGAATTTTTTTTTATTTTATTTTGTATTATCAATGTTTTATGTCCCCTATTAACAAGGATCGTTGACCCACAAATTTTATCCTGGACCGTTGTATACGTTTCACTTCTCCAGCTGTATGTACTTAATAGTAATATATTTAATTACAATATTGGTACACTAACTAGAGATAATATCACTCCATTAAGCCACTAATTTTATAGAATGAGAAAGATTCAAAATACGACATAGTATAGTTTAAAAACCACTTTCGTTATTTTGATGTGTCCAATACTGTCCCGTCTATAAAACTTTATATTAATTTTCATGCAGAAAACAAATATAATCATTCTAATTTCACCGGGGTTAATACTAATGAGAAGACTTTTCGAAATGAAAATTCCAAAAACTAATTCGTTGTAAATTTATGAAAATAACTTTGTTCAAGTTCCTATTCACAGAAAGAGTCAGAAAATAAGATTTTTTTTCTAATTATCTAAAATGGGCATTAGAATTTTTCATGTTGTCAAAAAGTATTAACGAAAAATCTTACCGGCTGTCGTCATATCGAAATAAGCTTCGTGTTCTTCACGCTACGTCATCGAAAGTACAAAGGTCTTATCGAGCAAATGTTTCCTGTTCTTAATTTATTTTTCAGTGAACGAGACCGGAGCCGGGTGATCCGAGATTGTCGATTTCGCGCTGCGCCCTCGAAATTTTGCTCTTATCTTTCGGCGTACCCGCTTCACCCGTTTCCATGGCAAACATTTTCATTTTTTCTTTGAACGACAACTTTTCAGGTACCGTTTCGGGTTTGCACTGTGCTTGTTGTTCCGCCAATCTTCTAGTACGCGGGTCACGGTACACCTCTTGGGCTCCTATTACCCCTGGAGTTGCTTGTGCAAGCCCGTGGGGTGAATCGACGGGGGTTGTGGGAGATGCCAGCATTGACTCAGCTTGTCTTATAAAGCTCTATAAAGATATGTTAAACATAATAAAACACATTAAAGCGTTTAGAAAAAATAGATAAATAACATAACTTAAAATTACAAAAAATCTCGCATACAGAATAAGTAACAATAACAAACTGAGGTAGAGCAAAAAATAAACTCAAACTTACGTTGGGATCTTCCCTTATGGGTTCTTCAATGACGAGCGTTTTTGGAGGAGAAGTTGTAACAGTCGCGGACGAATCGTCAAAAGTCACCCTCTTAATTGCCTCCTTATTATGCATTGACATTACAGCAAAGCTTGAACCTCTTTCGGGCGGAGGTGGGGGTACTTCTGGTTCAACTGTGTGATTGTTTGCAACGCCAGGTTTCAATATCGACGGAGGATGTTCAATCTTCGACATTATCGGTGTCGTATGAGTTGTTACGGTTGTATTAATACTGGAGGAGGCAGGAGGCTGAACGGACTGAATCGATGGAGTTGATGTGGGACTTTCCTGCAAATAGAACGAAAATGTAATACCTTACATATTAAGTCTTCGGCAGTAATTGTTTTTTAAATATTGGTAATAAAACATAAACAACATGGAAGTGGGATTTTGAAATATAATCGTTTACCTTTTCTTCGGTATCGTCATCATCCTGTTCTGCTGCTTCGAGTGCTCTCCTCTGAAACTCTCTCTCTAACTGTAACACCCGTAATTGCTCCTCTTGCTGTGGTGTACGGTACGGTAATGACATAAGTTCTCTAATTTGTTGCTCCTGCCATTGACGTGCCTGTTCTCGCCTCATTTCCGCTTGTTTTTCCTGTTCTTCGCGAGCCCAAGGATCTCGTACCGGCAACTTGTTCTGAACATTATTACAATTCGGATAGAACGCCATTTTAGGCGGGTCATGCATACTAGCTGTATACAGAGGATGCGTAGTGGGAGGTGGGAGTTCGGGAGGATCTTCAATTTTGCGAGTGTTTTTCACTACAAGATTCGGGTGTGATTTTGATGTTGTAGGGGTTGTTTGAGTTCCGCTATAATATGCAGGCTGGGGTACGTAACTATTCAGCGGTTGATTAAGATTCATAGTTTGGAGATTTTGGACGTTTTTGTCCATTTGCATTTGGTAATTTTGAGGCTGGTGTTGCGGATGGAAGTGTTGATGTTGCGGACCTGTGGGTACAGACGGAGAGAGGACACGATTTTGCCTTCTGCGCAATTCTTCGCCCATTTCGACCAATTTTGCTTGACCTCTTATGTTTGAACGCAAATCATCTTTACGCTCGTCGTTATAACGAAGTTGAGACAGTTCAATTTTGGAGCTCTCTTGTGATCTTATATTCCCACTACTTGCGTATCTCATCATTTCACCACCAGGAGTATTGTTGTTGATGGTATGCTGTTTAAGTAAATCATCACTTCGGGATGTCCTCATTTCGTTCTGAATTCGTTCCTCTGGTTGTATTCGGTGATGGTATTGTTGTGCCTGGGCAATATTATTAGAACTCGAGTATCTCATCATTTCTTCAGTTCTATTGAACTGAGAATGCCTGAGGACATCTTCACGTAACAAACCACCTCCACTGTATCGATGAGGTTCATCTGGATGGCGTCCGCCAGGATGAACGTGACCGTTAGAATAACTTTGAACACTTTGTGTTGGACTTGGGTATGAGTTGTTAGTATTAGGAACGTACTGTCCATTATTAGGATAACTTTGTTTCATATTCACTTCGGTTTCATGGGATTTTGGATAGTGATTTTGGTTTGGTCCCGAGTAACTTTGGTTTTGTGGCTGACCTCCATAACCACTATGGCCGTAAGACTGCTTTTGAACATTATAAATGTGGTTCTGGTGAGGGTGACTTGTAAAATTCTCGGGTGGTTGGCCTGGATGGTGTTGATTAGTTTGTCCTCCGTAATTCTGATTGGTGTATGGTGAATTATAGTTCTGATCATAGTTTTGAACGCCATGTCCTCTATTATATTGACCTTGTGGAGACACCCCGTAGCCACTAGTATTGTTAGGACTTCCGTAGCTACTATTTACAGGCGGTTTGTGGTTAAAAGTTAGCGGATACTGTTGGTTAACACTTGGAAAAGAACCAGAACGAGAATCATCGTTCTGAAGACGTTGGGTTGTAGGGGGACTTTTGAGATTTGGAATTGACTGATGTAAATTAGAACGTATTGCAGGAGACTGCACAGACGCTTGAGGATAATAAGCGGATACAGGTCGCTGAGGATTATTTTGAACTGTTGACTGTAAAGAATTCTGAGAGCTTCTTAATGCTGACGTCCTGTAACAAAATGGATCGTACATGGAATAAAAAAAATTATAAATACCAATTTTTATTTACCTGTCGCCCAACTGTTGAGGGTTTGGTATATTATTACGATAAACACTGAGATTTTGATAAAAACCGGAGTCCTGATGGAGGTTGTGTGTTGAACGACTTCGAAGATTATTGACAGGATTGTTCACTGGGTTGCTGCTAATCACTTGAGGAGCACTACCACCACCCCCACCACTACCAACAACGGCGCTGTTCGTATTGATGCTATTATTCGAGGAAGTTCGGCTGTAGCCGGGGTTGAAGACATCGTGGGCTCCGCCACCTACTCTAGAAGGCTGCTCTGCACCAGGTGAAATATGATGCAGAGCAGGTACAGACTTTGAAGAAGGAATACTACGTTCAGAATCTACTCGCGATGGAAGATCTCGCTCTGACATGCGCCTAGGACCTAGAACGCGAAACAGTATGTCAAACGAACAATATTTGCTACAAAAAAATTAAGAGAAAAATAATGGAACACAATGAATTATGACAAAATCTCCTGCAGTTTATACTACGATTAATAATAATTAAAACTGACAGGAAATTTTTACTTAATGATATATCAAAGTTAGCAGCCACTTGTTAAACATTTTAAAAAAGGACTGCTAAGTCTGTTTATGTGGCGATTAGCTAACATCACATACTATGCTAAAACACAAATAATAAATAAAAAGGAAGAGGCTTTTCAGATCTATGAAACACTGATTGAATGCACTGTGCTCAAGATGTAAATAAAACAGATCAAGTCTAATAAAAACAAGCGAACGTCTGCTGAACAATATTACATATATACACTAATAAAAATAAAAAGGTACGAACAAGGTGCAACATGGATCTCCAATCTTACGATCGAAACTAGCTAAACGCAAGCGCAGTTCTGATTCTTCTATGCTGTCTTTATTTATATTATCGCAACTGAAGAATTTGCGGTCTGCGTTTAGCAATGAACTCCTAAGTACCAGAGGGCAAGTATTTCCGGCATTTTTGCAACATTTTCTAACTATATGATGTTTAGATTTTAAGTCAGAGCAGCTTTTCCAACCTTTAGAAGACATGTTTTTGCACGTTATATCATCATGCAACTTTTCTGTGCACAGTTTATCGTTTTTAGGTCTCCTAACTATATATGATTCAGGAAACTTTTTACTCCTGGTCCATGTTTTACTTTTATCCTGGCTAAGTTTCTCCAAGCTGCCGAAACGAACCAAATGATTCATGAAAGGAAGAGGTACGGTGTCGCTATGGCGTCTATTTCCTATAGGTCTGTCAGTCTTATGGTTAATGTGAGCATTAAATAATTGATCCCTGTTGACTTTTAGTATGCCTTTGAGTTTCTTTGTGGGTGGGAACGATTTGCTAGCTGGTACTGTTGTCTTATTGGAATTGAAATTGGTCCCGACTGTTTCAGTTCTGAATTTCTTATTGAATATGCAATTATCAAACGAACACTCGTGATAAAAAGAATCATCACTTATTTTGGTTAAGTTTTTTTCTGAAGAATGTTTATTTATATCAGCTTTCGTAATTTTTGGCGACAAATCACTTTCAGATTTAAATTTCACACAAGGAACTTTATTTCTAGTAGAAAAACTTTCATCCTCATTTACAGCCAATGACGTTTCGCTGTTCTTTTTGTCAACCTTCTTTAAGCAAAGTCGAATACCCGTTTTTGAATCGGATCCACTAATACTCCAATCATAAAGAACTTTCAAAACTTCTCGTCGCTCATAATCATTTAGTTTGTTATCGTCCAATCTTTCTGCGCTAAAGCTTTTTGGCTTGGACAATATATCATCATTAAGTTGAGGAAAACTAGATGAGCTTCCGAAACTGTGTCTTTTTGCCATAACATGTTCAAAATGTTTTGCAAGCACTTTAACGTGTCCTTCTCTAACATAATCTGGAGATTTCCATCTTTTAATAGGTGTATTGGGATCTATTTGTGTAAGATCCAGATTAGATTCATGAATGTTACTACTCATACTTGACGTAGAACTAGACAACTCTTGTAATGAAGATGAAATGCGATATTGACTGTTGAATCGTTTTCCACCGACTCGTAAAAGATTCGAGGCACTGCCGCCAAAAATACCGTAATTTGCTAAGCATTTCTCTGTCCTGTCTAGAGACAGACTCCTTTGACTTCGTGGTTCTCTTACGGGAACAGAATGTGCAGAAAATGTACCAATTTCAATTGTTTTTGGAACAGGTTCAGAAAAATCTGTAACTTCGACGCTTATTTCCGGTGCCTGTTCGACATGTATACGAGGAACAACCAATTTGGTTAATTCAGCTTTATACAGACTATCATCTGAATTGAAAAAGACGTTCGATTTGGGTTTGAACGCGGGAGCAGATCGAGAGTAGAATTTCGGGGTGTTTGTGAGCGAATCTTCGGAATCGTGGTAATAATGTGGATAATCCCAAGCTGCATGTCAAAAGGGAAAAAAGCAAATGCTTAATTCTAGCCTACATTATAATTTTTTAGCCTACAAAAAATTAGTATGTTTACGCTTGATTTGGCGATACAAAGTAATCAATTAATGAGGTACCTAGTAAATGATGGCACTTGCAACTGCATCTGTAACCTTTTGCTTGACCGAAGAAAAAATTTTTAATTAATACTTCTTGATCAGCTACTAATTTCATTAAGTAACCAAATTATTGTTACATTAATTTTTTCAATATATATTACTACAAACCGGCATTTAACGAAGACATCAATAAAACAATTCTAGAATTATATGACAATCACTTACCTCTGTTGGGTGTTGGACTGGGCTGTTGCAAAAGGGTAGCCAGTCCGTGATAAACAGCACCTCCCTTTGCTACTTCCAATGTTACCACACTTCCTGTTCTTACAAGGAATTCTGCTGCCTTTTCTTGCGTTATTCCTAAAAGTGACTGTCCATCTACAGATAACAGTTGATCTCCAGCGGCTAATCTTCCATCACGATCGGCAGCTCCCCCTGGGACAACTGACTTTATGTAAATTCCCAGTCGCTCCTGTCCCGCCCCTTTTGCAGCTACAATCGATAGTCCCATTCCGCCTCCTGCTTTGTGGAGCCTTATCACCTGTATCTAATAAAAGAAACAATTTCTTAAGCATTATTCAACTTAAATTTTCTAACGATAACATCTCTGGCTATAAGAAAAGTTAAAAAAAAAAAACCGAAGACGTATTAACCTCTGGTTGTGTAGTGCTAAGAGCTGAAGGCGGCCTGGGAGCATTCATATAGACTGTCCAATGTCCGGAACTTGTTGGTTGGGTAGCTAGACGGCACAGTCCAGAAACTTGGAGAGGTTGTAGGAAGTCAGCGAGTCCAGGAGGGACACCTTGAACAACATCACAACTAAAACCGTCATCTGGAAGAAGTAATTGCAACGGTGGAGCGGGATCTTCATGTAATCGCACTTCACGACCTTCAGCTCTCGCTAGTTCATCAGCAACGCCCTCTGCCGCACGAGCTGCTTGTTCTAACATTGCTGGCGGTGCCACTTGTTCACCTGGTTCAGCTATACAATAAAATAATTTAAGTTATATGCTTTGATAACCGCCTATTTTAGCTAACTTCCCACCTTTATACTGTGTAAGCAAAGCCCTAAGTTGTAATGAATTCAGCTTAAAACAAGCCGCTGATAAATTGGCCAGTTCTTCAGCTGTACTCTTCGGGGCTTGTAGTAAATGGGCACATTGGACAATTTTGGCAAGATGACATTCGGCGGCCAATTCTAATCCTTGAGACTCAGCCCAAGCCTTCAAATAAGAATAAACACACTTTAGTAATCCACTTATAATACGAACTAAAAAAAAAAAAAGAGATTGTACCTGTAAGTTTCTCAACTTGTTAAAAAGTTTCACGCCAAAGCTGCGATTGCACAGGGCCGGATTGTTAATAATAGCGGAAAGGGCTCTCGCCGAGATCCAGTGAAAAAGTTGCGAAAACAGTTGAATGGTAAGGGCGGCGTTTACGCGACACTTGCGCAATAGGTTCATTGCGACACCAAGTACGTTGACGACATCTCGAGGATGGTCGTCACCCGTACCACTACCATCTGACACCAGATTGCCCATAACCGCGTTCAGTTCGCCTGTAAGACACGCCACCAGATTTCGGAATGCCAATTGAACGGCGTCGGCAAGAGTGTCTTGGGCCTGGATTGAAAACGCACTTACGTGTCTATCAGACTTGAGAAAATGAAGAAGTTCGCTGGCGTTCGCAAGCCAAAATGCCTGGGATGTACTTTCGGTGCTTCTGAAAAGAAAACCAAAAATAAAAGAAAAAAGAAAATATTAAGAGACTTGCAGTCATTCAATCACTTCAGTATAGTTACTAAAGTTAATATTTTGTTTGATATTTTTATTCGGCTATTATTTTAAATTAGTAGCATTTTGTCAAAGTTCGTATAGTTTTGTCTTCATGTTAGGAGGTATAAAAAAAACTTTCAATATATTGCAAGTGGTAAGTGGTTTTGGAATGCTTACCTATCTTGGACGGTGTGCCTGATAAGCATTGCCGCGTGCTGAAGTAGGAGGGTGAGCTTGTGCGCTCTTTCGGTTGGGGTGAGTTCGGGCCGATAGTGGGTGGAGGCGCGATATCGAGCGCACAGGTAAAGAGTGTAGGCGGGTGCTAGACGAAACGTCGGCGTCGTCACATCAAGGTGAGTGATTACACGCGCCAAAAATTGTTCTTGAGGCTCCTCCGGGAACTCCAGAACCGCTGGCAAGATTGGATCTTGACCACGGGGATAGCGGTCTATGCCGCTTAATCTGGAAAAATAACAAGGATAAAAAATTACCTACTTTCACATAGGTGGCATCTTGTATTAATGTACATCCCCTTTCAGTTAGAAGAATGAATCCTTAATTTAATTTTGGTGCGTTTTTTGGGATTTACAACGAAGGGAGGAGAATGAAATTTATATTATTCGAGAATCGATCAGTCGAATATCGATTTATATTAATAATATTAATACACAGAGTATAAAAATATTAACTATGCATGAAAACAAACATTGATGTATTATAAATTATTAATGTAAGAAAATTAAGAAAGAATTACTGTATCATTACTGGATCATATCTTACCTTTAATGTGTCGGTAGCTAAAAATACATGAAAACACTCGAATACAATAGACAAAAAAGATATCAAGCAGAAAATTTAACAAGCGCACATGGTACCAACTTACTGCTTACGTGACGTCATTCTGAGATCGTTTACATATGTCGAGTCTTCTGAGCTATCCATTTTTAGCAAGAACAGAAAATAAAACCAATGCAGATGATAGAGAATTGTGTACTCATATGCAAGTATGTATTTATTGTTTGATAAATTTTAGCCATAGAATAAACGGTAGGTACCCATTTTTATCTAATCTGGGAATAATTGATTTATCGAACAGGAAATCAATAATTCTATGCATATTTGGGAAGTATTTAACAATGAAAAATTTTAGGATTATAAAATTCTATAGCATGTGGTTGTCTCAGGGGTTATTATGGTAGACTAAAAACATTAGTGGAACAAAACAGAAATCTAATTTGGGAAATACTATACTCAAAGAGAGCATAATTAATGATGGAGTACAAAGACGAGCATTTAAATGTTAATTGGCCCAAAAAAATATTTGTGAAAGGTGTAAAACTTGCTGATATCTCTTTTTACCTTACCATGATACAATAATCCACCAGGAAGACCACCATGATAAAACACAAACTCCTGGTTTAAGCAAAGTACACAAACATTTCCCGTTGTT